TCCGGAAGAGATTACCGGGAAGGTCGCGGCCCAACCACCTCACTCGGCGGGCCGCGGGCCCTATCAAAGGCCGCACTTCTTACACGCTGTAGTTTAAGGCGCAACCCTCGTGAGGTACGTCGCAGCGATGGGGCTACCATAAGTGTTTAGGAGACTGGGTATCGCTTCTCGGATCTGGTCCTATCTGACAGAGTTGAGTCTTTATGTCGATGAAATAAACTTCAGCAGCTGGATGGGTAATATCGACGACATTAGATGATGTCGACAGATGAGCCAACAAGTTGCTCAGTTTGTGCTCAAGTCATTGTCATGAAAACAGGCCAAAATTTTTTCACTCTTCCTAGGCCTCACAAGCATGCTAATCGGGTCAACTATCGGGCGCTTGCAGGGTGCACCGCGGTCACTTATCGGGTCCAATATCGGTTTATACCGGGCAGCTCGCGGCATGGATGATTGGTGGTCGAGCAAGCACCCGCGAACTTCCCGATGCAATTGTCTGAGATCTAGTCTAGACTGTAGTATAATCTGGTTTGCGGATGTCAGCAAAGCTATGAAATAGTACGTCAAACTCTTCCGTGTTCGTCTGCTAAGTGCGATTCTAAGTTTTGATCTACGCCTTGTTCACACCGCCTTGTTCGCCTTGTTCCTTCTCAGACAGCGGATCGGACCCCTCCGCCGGAGAAGTGGCAGGGTCGCGGCGTATCCCCAGCGGTGGGTCTCCCATTTGTCCGGCGGAGCCCTCCCATTTTCTGCTCCGGATACCTCCCATTTTCTGCTCCGGAGCCCCCCGATTTTGTGCGCCGGAGCCCCCCGATTTTGTGCGCCGGAGCCCCCCGATCGCGGCATACTGTAATTAGCCCTAATTAAAGGCAGCTTCCAGGCAGATCTGGACCTATGGGGCTTTTACATGGAAAGTACTTTTGGGGCCCTAACTAAGGCACTGCCGAAGCAGCAGCTCAGGTAGTGCTCCAATGGCTGAGATATTCCCCTCGAAACAGACCCCCGCGAACGTACTCGCATGGATTCATGGCAGTTTCGCGCCAGGATCCACTCTTTGCGCCATGAATCCATGCGAAACACGGTCGCGGGGTCCGGTTTCGAGCAGAATATCTCAGGCGTTAGAGCACTACTTGAGCTGCCGGTTGGGTAGTGGCTTAGTTAGGGCCCCAAAATACTTTCCATGTAAAATCCCCATAGGCAAATCCAGACTTGCCTGGACGCTGCCTTTAAGCTCCAAACCCCAATTTTGTCTCTAAACCCCACCCAAATAAGCCGAATAGGACCCCCCCCCCCCCGGGTAGGAGTTTAGCGCGACCCTCACCCCGTACTCTACCCCCTCCCTCTCACCCCTAGCGTTTGTGGATAGAAGATAGAAGAAAGAACGAAGAGATAAGACATTTATTTCAAATTTATCAAACTTTCGAAAAATCTATCTATCTATCTCCAGCATACGTACAACAGTTAATTCATATTACAAAAACCATACTAGGAGTGATAAGAATATTCAAAGAAAAACTAATTTCCTAGTTGCAAAAAGAACCTTGTAAGTAGTACAGTATAAGCATATGGTTTTAACATGGTAAGAAAATGACAAAAAGATCAAAAAAGCATTCTGTGCAACATGAAACAAAACAGCGAGGAACGCCATAAACTCACATTTGCAAAGCAGGGACATATTGTCCAAGTGCGATATATACATGAGCTATATTCATCCAAACATCTTCGAATTCCGAGGTCCAAGGCCATACTGGGGCAAAACGAAAGTAGGATGATTCAACGTAGTTGCTTGATAATAGTACTAGGACACGATGATGACATGGATTGAAATTCTTGCATATGCAACTTACCTTGAACGCCTTTTCATAGTCTCTGTTGAAATGGAAAAACCGCGCAAGAATGTAACAAGCTTCGGCCTTGATTTCGTCACTTTCCGTCATACTCATTGCATGCCACGCTAACCGTTCAACCTTGTTCATTTCCTGAAAAAGTGATGCCTTCAGATAAAGCGATAAACACCTCGATGTAACAGCTTGGACAAATTTAAAAGGTCCCTTTTATAGATAATTCGTAATTAATTCAAAGAATTTCTGCACTGACTCCTTTGAAGAAGAAGTGGTTGGCAAGATGGACCAAGACAACCGGATTCTCCGGCTCCAGACTATACGCTTGGCCTAGACAAGCCACTGCACTTTGGGCTCCCTCGACAGTATGCGTATTGTAATCCAAAATGGCAAGTGCTGAGAGAGCACAAACATTGTCATTTTGCAATTCCAACGCTTGTTCAAAAGCGATTCTGCAAATTGTAATTGAAAGTCACATAAACAGTAAAGAAGAAGCTATGTGACTCAAACATTTCACATTTACATGCTTACCTAGCCTTATCAGTCCCTAATCTCGCTAAGCAATACTGGAAGCAATGTGATGTGACTAAGCAACAGTAACAGTCACAATGCTTCAGTAACAGTCACAAAACTTCAACATCGTTTGGAGTTGCCTCCAAGACTTTTGTCAACATATCTCTTGCCTTGTCCTATCTTTCAAGCCAGAAACGATATAGTGAGGATCTGCAACGTCTGATGAAAAGTCGATCGACTTGGTAAGCATACGTACGAGAGAGATAGTGTGGACCCCGGCCAGCTTCAGGTACTAGCGCGGCGCACACGCAACGCGCGCCCGACTTCGCTTCTCATTTCACTTACGAACAAAAAAGCATTATAACCGAAAACAGGAGTGAAATGAGATGTGGAGGCCTCTAATCCGAACACGAGAAAAGCCAAGGCAATAGGAGAACCTTCACAACTTCTACTACTAGCGCTCAGATTCCAGTCAATCTCATAAATAACTGGAATCTTCTATTATCCATCGCTAGTAGTGTATGACACTACCAGCGATGGATGATAGAAGTAACAGGAAAAGTCGAAGAACAATTCTGAAAAGTCTTCCTTCTGTTCATAAAAAAACCCAGAAAGTTTGAGCTCAAGAGCACGATTGCAAAGCTCTGATGGTGTAACAAAAGGCTAGAAGCATCTACACTCCACAAAATCAACTGCATATACACTTATTCTGAACATTTGGAGAGATGTCTCTGAACTACACCGAAATCTTCACTATTGAGAAAAAAACAAGATTTTCGAAACAAATGCTTGCAAGACTGTCAAGACTCGTAAAAATCCATCACCAGCAGTTGACGTGTGTCGTTTACATCTAAAGTAGAGATTACAGAAGAGAACAAACACACTTGAAAGAGGAAATTGAAAGAAATCCCTTCAGAGCCGAAACGAAAAGCGCACTGAAGGCATGCGCTGCGGGCGCGCCGCGGAGGTACCTATGGGAACCTGGCCGGGGTCCACACTATAGCAATAAACGGATTATTTAGACGATACTTTCATCACAACAACACTAGATAGTTGCGCAACTAACCTCATTGTTTCGAAAATCCAGAATTAATCACAAAAACCACTCCATCAATAGTCTACGATGTCTCAGCAAGTCGGAAAGAGCCAAACACTGAAGGTGATTGAGTGCAACCGCACGAAAATTTCAAACATAAACCTGAAAACGAGGAACTTACAGCAACATAAACGCCAACGCGACGAAGAGCAACGCGGAAAAGGAAAAAACGGTAAAGAAACGCGCAAAAACAACAGAATCAAATAAACGGCGACTAAAATATGGACAAAGAGCGTAAACAGAGGACTCATCACCGTGGAGTTAGACGTTTGCTTGCTACGCGCCAAATCGATACGCAGCCTGCTCCGGATACCTCCCATTTCTCCGGCGGATACCTCCCATCTTCTGCTCCGGATACCCCCCATTTTCTGCTCCGGATACCTCCCATTTTCTGCTCCGGATACCTCCCATTTCTGCTCCGGACCCCTCCGATTTTCTCCGGCGCGTGTCTTCCAAATTTGGCGGACACGCGCCGCGCAGACCTCTGCGGCGCGGAGTCCGTCAAATCTGGCAGAGTCGCGCCGGAGAAATGGCGGACCTTTGCAGCAGGGCCGGAGAAGCCTCCCATTTGCCTGCCAGTGATGCCACCGCGATGGACCGCCCATTTGCCCTTCTCTCATTGGTCAACTGGGTCCGGCGCGACCCTGGCAGTTTCCGAGGGTCCGGCGGAGGGGTCCGATCGATTGTCTGAGTTCTGATGAGAAATTGACGAGAAAAACATTGCAGATGCACCTTTGTGGTGCTAATTACGCTGAAGCATGCAATTTTGTGTGAATAAATCCAATTTCCAATCACAACCTGTGCAGTTCCTTTGGAGCTGTGTCATCTCAAAGTACTAGATTTACTTGTTAATCAAAAATTGTTTCCAAGAATCCATAGTATTTGCGTTGTATGAATGGCTAACATTGTCGATATAAGCATACTCAGCGCTAGTTGCCATGTTTAAAGGATAAATTGCCACCGCACACAAGAGATGGCTTTGGTTGCCTACACTGGCGGTAAATCAGAAAAATGTTGTGCATGTCCCTTTGTGTTAATTACGTGGGAGCAGAAAAATTGTGCGAAAACGTCGAAATCTTATACACAGTGCACGACAACAAGTTTCTTTTGAGCCGTGCCATCTCAAAGCACTAAATTATTCATGGACAACTGTAAATTATGGTAATACAGTAGTATTTTTGTATGAAAGGTTAAGTTTGTCGACGTAAGCATAACAACGCTAGTTGCTATCTTCGGAGGATAAATTGCCTCTGCACACAAAGGATAGCTTTCGTAGCTTACACTGGCGGTAAACTTAGCTTTCCAGGTTACATCTCAACATTTAGCCCCATATTCTCAGCTGGTGAGATGCGATTAGAAATCATCGAAAAATTTTGAAGTCCTGACAAATGCTTGCATGTTGTATGGGAAATCTTTGTATAATTTTAGCCAATTTTCATTGCTGTTTAACGTGATATGCTTTGTTAGCGATAGCTACCGAATAAACACAAGAACAGTAACTCTCTACATAGAAAAACCGCAGATGTTTGAGAAAACAACTTTTTGGTTGTTCAGGGAGATTTGCAGTATACTTCGCCCACATAGAAAATGGGCGAGGTTTTAATACGTTCTAGGCCAACAAAGTCCGGAAACTGGGGATTTGCTCCCGTTTCGTTGTCAACCACATAGACGTATTGGCCTGTTTCCGTACATATGTACTCTGCAATGGCGTTCGGTGCGTCCACACCGTTATAATCGCCACAAACAGTCCATGTCCATGGTTGGTTTAGCACATAATCAGTGACGGTTAAGCGCCCATTTGCTGAAAATCAAACAGTTGCAATCACAATGACTACAGCCAAGAAAAAATCTCACATTCATCCACCTTCTTGAACGTGCAATTGCAGTTTTCAGGCACATTTCCAGGACTAAACTTATGTTGATTCGAGTCGATATGCAAACTATGTTTGAACATACTTGCAACCACGTGGACTGCCCGGTGTCTCCAACAAGTTTTTCTTCGTCAGGATGAAAGTCCCATAAAACATCAGCTTATGGTAGCTTTTGCAGTGCATGATTGAGTTTGGTGCCGTACTGGGCCTGCTCGAGTTTTGCGGTTTTGATACAATTGTAGTTGGGCAAGATGTTTCATGCTCTTCAAATGAGTATGAGAAAGCTTTGCTGACAGACGCTAGATCCTGAACGTCATCACCGTCTTCAAAAACTTCGCATCTACCCTGTAAATAAAGGTTCTTAAACTTAAATGTAATTAGCAAAGATTCTTGCGCTTTCATATCAACATGTATTGTTGGAAATCTTGCATGCTCATATCAGTATAAAATCCTGCCCCCATTTATTTATTCAAGGTGCAGCCAAATCACTTGCCTCATTTGTTCCCAAAAATACCTCGTAATAAGTCAAAAAGGTGCACTCCGGGTCGACAGAGCATTTACTCAAGCACTCTTGTTCAGTGGTGACATTGTAAATCCCTTTTAGAGATGCGCTGAAATTGTCTGTCACACTTCTGAATGTGCAGTTCAAACTGTCGTTGATCTGAAATGTCAAATTTATAATATCAATAAAAGTAGCCGAGACTCACCAGTGCGTAGAAGACAGCAATCAAGAGCCACTTCGACTTTGCCTCAAAGAGATTCATTTTGCTGCCGGCAGTTCTCAGTCAAGACACCTTCGATACTGAAACACCGCTTTACATGTCGCTAGGTTCACGCCCCTAAGCCATCCATGACAAAAACTGAAAAAGGAGGTGAATCTTGGATTCAGCCATTAAGGAGAAATGTAACAAAAAAACTGCTATGAATCTATATGCTAAAAATGCGAGGCTTCACCTGATGGAGTGAGTTGTGATAAGAATGAATGCGGAACTCTTTAGTACTTCTCAGTTGGGTAACTATCGCTAAGCAAAAGATTTATGAAAATCTAACTCTATTTGCAGTAATTTTCGCTAATTCTGTATGAAGCGCTGCTTGTTAGTTTATATTTAAGAGCTACAAAAAATGTCTGGTCAATGTAGCGTAAATATAAACCTGAGAAAAACGAATTTTCTGTGTTTTCTAACTAGTATATTTCTGTACATTTAGTAGGCTCAGATCGTTTTGGGAATTGAGGGAATCCGGTCTGCAAGGACTCTGTGATCGCAAAGTAGGCGCAGCTGCCAAACAAAAGATTGATTGATAGATTCTTTCTCGCCGAAGTTATCGTTTGTTCACCTGAATTGGAGGCTGAAATGCGGGATTTCGTGACCTGGTTAGGGCTAAAGAAGATCAGAGAGCACGAGGGCGAGAGAGAACCAGGCTCCGTTGGGGCGCGAGCGGCCTTAATTAGGTCACAAAGCTCGACTTCCAGCCGCCAATCCAGTTTAATCATAGGTTAAATAATAATTTCTCTAAAAGACATTCAATAATTACTGATTTAGCTGATGCCGAGATTTCTATGAGAGCGCAGTTCATTTATTGCAATTCACGAAACTCCCGACGATCTTTAGGATTGTAGTGCAAGTTGAGTAAATATCAAGTAAATGAATCTGGATCTAAACACAGTGATAACGAGGTCCATATAAAAAATTACATTACAAGCTTACGCATCGGGTATATGTTTATATCCATGTTTATACTTTACCCTCAAGGTGCAAAGAAAAAAATTCTTAAGCTAATACATACCAGTTGAACACACACCAACTAGTCATACTCAGTAACAGTGTACTAAATAAAAGCATTTTAGACCTAGAATTTTTGATTCATTGGAAAACATCATGAGATAATATTTTGAACTGCTTAAAGGCAGTGTCCAGGCTAAACATAACCCCCTCCGATTAGTGTCGATCCTGAATGTAGGCTCCAGAAAAGGGGCATCTGCGTTGATCCGGTCTTCTAACGTTGTCTCTGAATGGAGATAAGGGGCCTGAAAGTCCCTGGCTGGGCGGAGTCTGATATCAGACTCCGCCTACCAGGCACGGCTTAAAACAATTTTAAATTTTATTTCAATATAAAAATTTTAAAAACACTGCCTCCCGACACGTATTGACAAGGTAGTGAGCAGAAGCTGCCACACTGCGTACTGCAATGCAACTGCACCCATGCAGTTGCAGCTCGTTCCCGCGACCTGCCGACGGGGATGAGCAATTCGGAACTCGTCCGCGCCCTCAAGACTGAGTCCCCAAGAATCGGTTTTGTGAATTTTAGCGAGTTTGAAGTTCGGAACTGTAATTAGGACTACGAAAAAGGCCCCAGAATGACGAAAACATGGGGGGTTAAATTCTGGGTGGACGCTGCCTTTAAGGAGAGTGCAGCAACAGAATGTGACGAGAAAATGTTCAGAACGAATATCTGTTTTGTCTAAATGTCTGTTGAATAATTGGCTTCAGGCTCAATTAGATTTACAGCGTGAACATCATCGAGAGCTTATGACAATACCACGATTGTAACTTTTCCTCCATGGTCACAATTCGCCTCGAAAAGAGATCCAAAGAGGTTGAAAAACAGGTATTTAGTGTTGCTGATCCCAGAATCTGTCATACAAGGAAGGGTCCGGAAGTCAAATTGTCCAATCAACAATCATAAATCACGAAATGTTTTGAGAGCAGATTTGAATCAGCCTTCCATATATGTAGAACTATTCTGGAATGGATGTTATGGACCACTTTGCGGAAAAATTGCGAGGCGGAGAGTAACCTGCATTACCTACACCTAGGCACTTTGGATTTGAATCTACTTAGAACAGCTTATCCATGCTTGATACGATCCTCTTTGATTGATCGTTTGACTGCAGAAGCAGTTTGAACGATTCTCATTATTTCTAGTCACTCAAAACAATGCATATTTTAATGGCGAAACCCATGCCTTTCTTCCTGAAAGTGTTCAGTGGATGTGGAAGGCAAATTTGAAAACAACATTCTAAGCTCTTTGTAATAGTACACATCCTGTAGTAATCGGCCATTTCAACTTTGTGACCCCTCGTTAGAAGCATTATGTTAGATGTGAAGTATATGTTAGAAGTTCTGTCCTAGTTCTTCAATAACAAATAGGATGATATTTGCTTATACCGTAGAAAACTTAGTCAGGACCTGCTCTTCGTATAGATCCTGTGAGCTGTAGAAATGTTGGGGCCAAAATTTGGAATCGTTCAATCTGATGAGTGCTTTTTCCGCTTATCTAACATTAAAATTCGTACTAATCGTTCAAAACTTTGCACTGCATCTTTGCCACCTTAGAATACTGTAACCTTACGTCGTAAAACACTATACCTCTGATAAATGGGTTCTGCACGCTTTGCAATAAAATTGCCGCTCTTATTTGCGAAGCAATAATTGTGAATTCTTGAGTGCCACTCGTTTGGACCCAAAGATGACTTGTCGAAGGACTCTATATTAGGTTGATGCAAAATTAACAAGCGTTTTCAGTTCTTTCGGACAACTTTTTTCTATTGTACTTTCTTCTTTAAAACCGCTTTAACACCATTGAAAAACTCTTTTCATACTCTGTCTAATGATAAATGAAGCGGGCTTCCAGCCTCAGCTGTTCAGTAGTTAAGGTTTCATAGCACGACTCACAGTCAGAATACCATTGCATCACTTTTTGGGAAGAATTCAGGTGCAAATGATGGGTTCCGGAGGTTTTCGCTACTATATGCATTAGAAAATCATGCATATAACTATTTTTTGAGGTTATACAGACTGATGCGGCTTCAACATGGGTAGCCGTTGTGGTCATTTCGTGGCCCATAAATTTTATGGAAAAGGCAATCGCCAAGTTTTGAACATTTTATGCGTAAGGTAGGGCATCCTGCTGACAGTCTTTTCCGAGAACATTTATCCAACAATAAGTGTCATACGCAGAAAATAGAAAAAAAACTCCGTAATTCGGACTCAGGGCACGGCACGAGGTGGCTAATTGAACATGCAGAAAACGAAGTCCCCCTTGACTTTGCAAATTTCTACGAAGTTCCCTTTGACCCTACACCATAATCCCTAAAATAAATCTCCAAAAACGAAACGTCGACAGAAAAAACGTCGCCAATTTCGTGTCTTTTCAGCCACAAAAACGAAACCCCCTTTTCTTTTTCAAAAAAAGGTATCCAGGCTTGCTTGTAAGCCACCTGTGCCGAGCCCTGCTCGGACTTTGACTTTGAGGTCTCTTGAGAAAATTGTTGAAAGCTAACAATTTTAAATTTCAGATTTCTTTCCACATATCTTCTTTGTCCAAGCCCTTTTCATCTCCTTGTAACACTGGCTTGCGGCTATAAGATAGGTTACTTTTTAGTCATATGAACAATTTTGAAAGGAACCATGTCTGTGTCAAAATCTAGGTTTCAGAAGAAGAGATTGTTTTGATCCATAACATTATGCGACTTCTTGATATGAGTATAGGCCAATGTAGGAAAGGCTTATTGTTTCTTACGTTTCTACGACACTTGCAAGTGAAGATTTTCCAGAAAGCCATAGCAAGAGAGAATATTCGCAAAACGCTCATTATTTTTGCAGTAATCTGAAACTTTGATATATAAGAAGATCCTGGGAGTTGGCAATACTTCTGATTTGAACAAACCAGAATTTGTCTAGCGTGATAATTTTCTTCACAACCAGCAATTCAACAAAGTGGTATGAAATCGGGTAAAGCATTTGAAACATCCCATTACTCATCGATCACAACCTCCTCGTGCTCAAGGTTTCTTTCTTGAAAGCAAGTGTGAGCTTTTTTGATAGACCAATCATAGCTTTATAATGTATCTTATATATAAAGCTGAATGTCTGTTTGTCTGTATGTCTGTCTGTCTGTCTGTCTGTCTGTATGTATGTATGTCTGTGTGTACGTATGTTCCGAATAGAAAATTCCATTTCTGAACCGATCCGGACCAAACTTGGCACACATACACTACGGGCCCCGGCGGGTGTCATAGGCTACTTTTCGTCATCGATCGATATCGATTTTATCGATTTTTATCGATTTTTTTGCTAAGTGCACCTACGGGGCTGGGAGTTGGCACAGGGGGGTAATCGAGCATGGGGATTCCGAATACAATATTGGTTTTCGGGATTATCGATTACTTTTATCGATTTTATCGATTTTTTGCAAAGTTTGAGCTAGGGGGCTGGGAGTTGGCACAGGGGGGTAATCGAGCATGCTGATCATCCCCAAGGGGGTGATCAGCATGCTCGATTACACCCCTGTGCCAAATTCCAGCCCCCTAGCTCAAATTTTGCAAAATCGATAAAATCGATAGAAGTAATGGATAATTCCAAAAACTAATATTGTATTCGTAATCTGCATGCTCGATTACCCCCCTGTGCAAACTCCCAGCCCCGCAGGTCAAACTTTACGAAAAAATCGATAAAATCGATAAAAGTAATGGACGATCCTGAAAACTAATATTGTGTTCGTAATCGGCATGCTCGATTACACCCCTGTGCCAAATTCCAGCCCCCTAGCTCAAATTTTGCAAAATCGATAAAATCGATAGAAGTAATGGATAATTCCAAAAACTAATATTGTATTCGTAATCTGCATGCTCGATTACCCCCCTGTGCAAACTCCCAGCCCCGCAGGTCAAACTTTACGAAAAAATCGATAAAATCGATAAAAGTAATGGACGATCCTGAAAACTAATATTGTGTTCGTAATCGGCATGCTCGATTACCCCCCTGTGCAAAATCCCAGCATCGCATGTCAAAATTTACAAAAAATCGATAAAATCAATAAAAGTAACCGATAATTCTGAAAACTAATATTGTATTCGGAATCCCCATGCTCACTTCCCCCCTGTGCCAACTCCTAGCCCTGTAGGTGAACTCTGCGAAAAAATCGATAAAAATCGGTAAAATCGACATCGATCGATAACGAAAAGTGGACTGTGACACGCGCCGGGGCCCGAAGTGTATGTGTGCCAAGTTTGGTCCGGATACGGCGGAGCCGGGTAAGCCAGCTAGTAATATTATATAGTGTGATGCACAGTTACACTATATAGTTCTACTAGCTGGCTTACCCGGCTCCGCCGTATGTTCCGAATAGAAAATTCCATTTTTTAACCGATCCGGACCAAACTTGGCACACATACCCTTCGGGCCCCGGCGGGTGTCACAGTCCACTTTTCGTTATCGATCGATGTCGATTTTATCGATTTTTTGCAAAATTTGAGCTAGGGGGCTGGAATTTGGCAGAAGGGTGTAATCGAGCACGATTTTAAGAACTAATATTGTATTCGGAATCCCCATGCTCACTTACCCCCCTGTGCCAACTCCCAGCCCCGTAGCTCAAATTTTGCAAAAAATCGATAAAATCGATATCGATCGATGACGAAAAGTAGCCTATGACACGCGCCGGGGCCCGAAGTGTATGTGTGCCAAGTTTGGTCCGGATCGGTTCAGAAATGGAATTTTCTATTCGGAACATACGTACACACAGACAGACATACAGACAGACAGACAGACAGACATACATACAAACAGACATTCAGCTTTATATATATTCTATATAGTGCTTTGTGCATTACACTAAATAATAATTGGCTAATTTTCATTGGATTTCACTCAAATTTTCAATACTCTTCATTTTCGCTTGTGCCGCCTTTCCTTTGTTCTAACATGGCTATAATGGAAAAAATCTTTCTTGGATTATTCATTGGATTTGGACAGTTCAAATGCATAAAGCACCCTTTGTTCACAAAGGAACATTTGTTATGCCACTTAATCGCGACACCTCTCGTTATTAACGGCATCAGGATCCTGGCAACGTTTACGAGGGCTAAAACACTGAAGAAGCTGATTTGAACATTAATCAAGTTTTTGAGAACAAAACAGACTTAGAAGTTCTCTCAATATGAAGCTCCCCGAAAGAAAATGTTTGTTGACCGCTCGCAGAAAATTCTTGCTGCCTTCTGGAAGACCATGCGACGGTAAAGGAAGTAGAGCAGCTCACTTAAGGTTTAGCCACGAACAGGGCCCGGCACGCGTTGGTTTGGATCATTTTTAGAAACGAAGTCCTCTATGAATTTGCGAAAATTTACGAAATCCCTTTTGAAGTAAAAGTCAGTAGGGAAACCCTTGATCAATCAACATGACAAAACATAACAATAAAAAAGCGAAAAAGCGGGTTTTGAGGTACCTAATTTAACAAAACAAAAAAAATTCTGAGCCGATTCAATTCCTGAGTATGGTACCGCTTTAGCGTTCAGAACGTTGAAATCTTAGGCCACCAAATCTGTGACCAGGGCCGAGCACGCGTTGGTTTGGAGGATTTTTGAAAACGCAGTCCCGCATGACTCCGCAAATTTTTTACGAAGTCCCCTTTGACCCCAAAATTGGGGTGCCTGGCATTCTGAACTTTGGCCCTTGCCAGACTTCGCTCAAAAGCGCTAAAAAGCGCTTAGAAGCTCCCGAAAGCGCCCAAATTTCTTTGTTGTCCTTCACTTTCTCGTGTGAGGAGAGATGAGAAAGAGTGAGGATGGGTTAGAGAAATTTGGGCACTTTTGGGCGCTTTTGAGTGCTTCTGAGCGAAGTCTGGTTAGGGTCTTCAACATTCGACAAACTTTTCCAGCATAAGTGTTTAATAATGCAACATACATGTGACATAAAAGGCATTTTGCCGACTGAGGTGAGCAAAGGAGTGTTTTGAGGTTCATGTTAACGAGATCCTGAGCAAAAAAATCTCAAAATTCAATTTTTTGGAACGATGTAGCAAAAAATTCGATTCATCTCTTGAATAAGAAATCTAGCGACAGAAATGTACAGCCAATGGTGGCGCATCTGCAAATGACCGTCACCTTCAAAAAGTGGTCAACAGCGAAAACTTTGAGCAGCTAATGCTGCAGATCATGTTAATGAGACCAGTATCTGAGCTAAGAAAATCTCAAAATTCAATTTTTTGCAACGATGTAGCAATAAATTCGATTCGCAAAGTGTGCCAAAAAAATGTGCATTTTGAGAGTCTTAGAGTGGTGAAAGTGAAAACAAATAGAAAAAAATAAGAGGGTGTGGCAAGATGTAGAGATGAAGTGGAGATGCGTGCCTTCGTTCAGGTATCTTCAAGTCAAAAACGGATTAGCTGGATGTGCCATCAAAGCGGGGATCTCCTGGCAATAAAGTGCGTTAGGAACCTGGGCCGGATTCGGGCGGATGTTGTTCCCGATCTCCCAATTCTGTTTCATCCAAATGAGATTTTTCTGATAAAAATTGAGCATTAAAAAATTCAAAACTCACCAGTCGATACTGAAAAAAAAAGATAGAAGCAGTAGAATCAAATTGGTCAAATGCGCAAATCCGTCGATGACCCCGAAAGTGGGGCAATCACACCTTAAAAACGGCTGGAGTACCTAAAAATAGAATGATAGAAAATAAATAGACTAGAAACTAGAAACTAGAAAATAGACTTACGATCGGTTGCTGCTGTTGGTATGGTTTCTCGAGATACTGGGCATTGGCGACTTCGATGTTAACGGCCAGAAAGACGAAAATAAGACATTTGACATAGCGCCCCTTATAAACAAAAATATTAGGCTAACGTTCATTAAAGTGTTCTCGACATACAAAGCACAGGGAAAAGATAAATTTGCCGATTTTGATTTTGATCCCTACCGTAAATCTAGAGTAACCATGGAGGGAAGAGTTTTCGTGCGGAGAAAGTGTGACATTTTTAATCAGCATGTCGAATAACCCCTCAGTGCGAAGTTACAGCAAATTTTGAGATTTTGACCCCCTACCGTATACCCACCGTAGCCCGAGAAAATGACGCTACGGTACAAAACCAATGTGATATTCAGCATCAGCGGGTCGAATAATCCCTCTAGACGAAGTTTCGGGCAGATCCGTGATTTTGACCCCCTACCGTAACCCTACCGTAACTCCAGATAGCGCTGTCGCACGAAATAAACATCATACTGGTGTTCAGCCTACCAAATAACCTCCCTAGGAAAATTGAGTAAGGAGTGTAGGATTTAGTGAGAGAGAAAGAGGTTGATAATGTGAGAACGCAGTCAATAAAGCCTAAATTGATTTCATGACCATTATGTTCCATTTGATGAGAGAAGAAAACCACATTTATGACATAGCAAGTCACATGAACCTTTTTTGCGCTTTGTGGACTTCTACATGTCTATCCGAGCGCTTTGTTGATTCTGTTGGTGCGTGATTCGCCACGAAGCACTAAATCAGAAACGACCGAAGAAGGTGTGATAAGTAGTTCGTTTCCACGTAGTCTGATTAAGCAAAACAGGAAAAGGAGCGATAGGGCAAAGATAGCGTCACCTCGACTAGCCTTGTGAGCACATTCGAGAACAAAATGTTCAAACAAAAAGAGAAAGAAGGTAATTGCAGTTGCTCAAAGCGTTGAACAAAAAAGATTGATACTGAGACAGAATATAAACTGTCGTGGTCAATTTATTGAAATGTCGCTTTAGACTGCGTTTCTAAATGAAATCGAGGTACAATAAGCTCTTTCGAAAAAAAAGTTCAACATTGGTTTCTAAGAACTCGTAACTGGTGAACCTATAAAGCCAAACAACTTGAGTGAAGAGTTTATGCTTTAGGACCGACGATACCTACACGTAAGAAAAGGTTACGACCCCTTTTTTCAAGTTCTGCGCTCTGTGGTCAGGGCTCGGCACAGGTGGCTTATGCAAACTGAAGTATGCCCGGCCCTTAAGGCCTCGGGCAGACTTCACGCGATTTGATCGTCGCGATTCAATCGCTAAAGACAAGTGTTACGAGTTCATTGCACGCCGATCTTCTTGTATCTCGGTTGTGATAGTTAGTCACGATTAGTCGTGTTGGAAAACTATCACAACCGAAATGCAAGAAGATCGGCATGCAATCATATTGTTACAGTTTTCATGTCGCGTTCAATCGCGATGATCGTGAATTCTGCCCGAGGCCTAATGTGAAATGGCGAGCTAAGCTAACAAATCAAACAATATTAAATCAAATCAATAAATCAAACCCACCTTGGCTGGCCCTTGTCGTCCCATCCGTCTTTCTTGTTCTTGACCAGTTTTTTCGCCTCCATCGCGAGTACTTTCTAAAACGAAAGGATATTAAAAACAAAGAAGAAGACAGAAAAAGACAGAAAGAGACAGAAAGAGAAAAAGACGAAGATGAGTACATGACGAGACAAAAAATGAAGTGATACAATCGGCGCCACTTCAAAGGGCGCCGTGACTCACATGTGATTGGAGCGTATTATCTATCAAAGCCTCTATTTTCATATTATATTTGGCTCGTAAAAAGAGCAGATTCCATGGTTTGATTTGCTCTCTTCACCATATAATAGATTTTCAAGCGTTTTAATCGTCCAAAACAAAAAGGTCCAAAACTTATGTGAACTCTCCGAAATTTATGCTCTGAACCAACCCAGTTGGTTCGCTGGTTGGTCTAGAAACCAACAAATCCGGAACGGGTATTCAGACACATAAGTTTTGGGAACTCTTTACTTAACATAGTATGGAGTAATATTGTATACTCATAGCCCAAATTCGGAGCCATGTTTGTGCGCTGTAAACAAGCCATTTGTTTGTTTGAGTATTGCATTTGAAATTCGCGCGCTTGCGAAAGAACAAGTTCAACTCGTGAAACCTGACATGTGTCGTGTTTTTTCTGGCGCTTCCTCCAGGACCCCATAAAAACGATGTCGTTGCTTCTAACTTCAAAAACGAAGTCCAGTTTGACCCCAAAACCATCGGTGCCGGGCCCTGTCTGTGACCTCAATATTCTGGCGATGCATTCTTCGCCACATAGTTTGAACGACACCGCATGTGATTGGAGCGCGATATTTATCAGTGCTTTGGTTTACACTATTTTTGAGCCAAGAAAAAGAGGAGAAGCAGCGGTTTGATTCGCTCTCTTCGCTAAATGATAGATTTTGGAGCGTTCTCTTCGTACAAATCAAAAAGGTCGAAAACTTATGTGAACTCTCCAATATTTATGCTCCGAATCAACCCAATTGGTTTGGTGTTGGTCTAGTAAATAACAAATTCGGGAACGGGTATTAGGACACATAAGTTTTTGAAACTTTTTACATAATGTTGTTTGGAGTAATATTGTATATACAGTGACCGCCAAAAAGTTGCGGACAAGCCTCCCTCCCTTTTTCATCGCTCTTTTTCAGGGTGAAAACAAGGATGAAAGAATGTAATAATTGCATGAGATGATAGAGCTCATCAAGATCTACAATCCACACTTTGAGTTTTTTGAGAAACATGTGTTCTAAAAATTTTAAGAATCTTTTTCTAAAAAAAGTCCGAAAATGGCCGCGTCACAATGTCGCGGACAATAATTCTTCGAACGCAAAAATTTCCTTTTGAGTTTTATTTAAAGCGGAAACACAAGTTATCCAGACGGGTAAGCATACTACTATACAGAGCTCATCAAGAACTACACACTGGTTATGGTTGCTTCCCCAAAAAACGCAAGCTTGTGTTTAATTTTAGTTTTTTCAAAAAACAACTTCTAATTTCCTTTCTTTAAGCCAAATTCTTCGCATGAGAACCTATTCAAGACATTCCAACAAAGCTATTCGGACAAAATGGATGCTCTTTGCCATTTTTTTATGCATCGGACGTGTACTGGTGAGATTCTTTGCTAAAAATGGCTCTTGACAGTGCGTGCACATGACCCCACCTGCACCTACCACTGACATGTACCGCTTTGCAGGCTTGTAACTCGGCCTGCAGTCAATATTTGAGCCTGCAATTAGGCTCGTTCGAGAGAACGAGACCTCCTCTACACAATGGTATGCAGATAAATTCAGTTTGAGCAATCCCAGAAAAATGGCAGATGGGGTGAAAAAGTGCAGCCTTAGAGGTGATTGGAGTGAAAGCTCTTATTAACACAGAACAATCTTAGAGCTTCGAAATGGATCTATTACAAAAAAATTGACAGTTTTGAACTTCTAGGATGAAACTGGTAGCGAAAGGAGCTCTCTTCAACTCTAGCTGAAAAGTGCTTAGACTACAACTGAAGCTGCCCTCTACCACCCCGTTCGCCAAATCTCTGGGATTGCTCAAACTGAGTTTCTCTGCATACCATCGTGTAGAGGAAGTCTCGTTCTTTCGAATGAGCCTAATTGCAGGCTCAAATATTGACTGCAAGCCGAGTTTCAAACCTGCAAAGCGGTACAAGTCAGTGGTGAGGTGCAGGTGGGGTCATGTGCACGCACTGTCAAGAGCCATTTTCAGCAAAGAATCTCACCAGCACACGTCCGATGCATAAAAAATGGCAAAGAGCATCCATTTTGTCCGAATAGCTTTGTTGGAATGTCTTGAATGGGTTCTCATGCGAAGAATTTGGCTTAAAGAAAGGAAATTAGAAGTTGTTTTTTGAAAAAACTAAAATTAAACACAAGCTTGCGTTTTTTGGGGAAGCAACCATAACCAGTGTGTAGTTCTTGACGAGCTCTGTATAGTAGTATGCTTACCCGTCTGGATGACTTGTGTTTCCGCTTTAAATAGGACTCAAAAGGAAATTTTTGCGTTCGAAGAATTATTGTCCGCGACATTGTAACGCGGCCATTTTCGGACTTTTTTTAGAAAAAGATCCTTAAAATTTTTAGAACACAGGTTTCTCAAAAAACTCAAAGTGTGGATTGTAGATCTTGAAGAGCTCTATCATCTCATGCAATTATTACATTTTTTCATTCTTGTTTTCACCCTGAAAAAGAGCGATGAAAAAGGGAGGGAGGCTTGTCCGCAACTTTTTGGCGGTCACTGTACATAGCCCAAATTAGGCGTTAAGTGATTGTTTGTGCGCTGTAAACAAGCCATCTGTTTGTTTTGGGTCTTACGTTTGAAATTCGCGCGCTTGCCAAAGAACACGTCCAACTTGTAACACCTGTCGTAGATTATCCAAATAATCTACAACCTTTAGCATTGTAGATCTACCGTGTATGTTATATTTAGCATATCTGTTAGCTTGTCGTTGACAAACCTTATTGTTCACTGACCACTTAAGCCGCCAGGTCACCCCTCCACTGTGCTTGATAGTCTACTTGGCGGCGCCTACTTTCATGTAGGCAATCCTTCATGCTGTATGATACTATTGTTTACCAGAAGTGAGCATTCAGGTTATCCACGCCCAAAATAGTGGCATAAAAGGGCCTGAATACTCAGTTCTGGGGTTGGTTCGATTAATACCACTATCGTCAGCGGCTGTTCCGCATATTCACTGTTAATAGTCAGCGGCTGCTCCGCTACTATCTAATAAACAGTTATACCCGTTGTGGTACCAGCTTGGTGTATGCCAAATTGGTGCATCGGCCAACGCATCGTCTCTTCGGTGCTGCTCACCGAAATTCGATAAAAGTCCCGCGTGGCAGGCTACTAACAGCCGATTATTCGACTCTCGTGATTGCTGGTTCATCCGCTTTCGCGACCAAGAGTCTTACTAAGCTGTCAGGTCCTATCCACAGCTTAGTAGAGGTTTCTAGCTAACTGACTGGTTCATCCACAGTTAGCAACAGACTCCTCGCACTCCAGGCTACTAACAGCCGATTATTCGACTCTCGTGATTGCTGGTTCATCCACTTTCGCGACCAAGAGTCTTACTAAGCTGTCAGGTCCTATCCACAGCTTAGTAGAGGTTTCTAGCTAACTGACTGGTTCATCCACAGTTAGCAACAGACTCCTCGCACTCTAGGCTACTAATTAGCCAATATTCGACTCTAGTAATTGTTGGTTCATCCACTTTTACTAATACGAGTCTTGCTAAGCTATCCCATAGCTTAGCAGAGGTTTTCTAACTAGCTGACTGGTTCATCCACAGTTAGTAAAAGAACTCCTCGAACTTTTTTTTTTGGCTTCCAACAGCCAAAAAAGACTCTGTGATTGCTGGTCCATCCACTTTCACATACAAGAGTCAACTCACTAAGCTATCAGGTCCTATCCATAGCTTAGAGAGGTGTTCTAACTAGCTGACTGGTTCATCCACAGTTAGTAAAAGAACTCCTCGAACTTTTTTTGGCTTTCAACAGCCAAAAAACACTCTGTGATTGCTGGTCCATCCACTTTCACATAAAGAGTCAACTCGCTAAGCTATCAGGTCCTATCCATAGCTTAGCAGAGGGTTCTAACTAGCTGACTGGTTCATCCACAGTTAGTAAAAGAACTCCTCGAATTTTTTTTGGCTTCCTATAGCCAAAAAAGACTCTGTGATTGCTGGTTCATCCACTTTCACGTACAAGAGTCACCTTACTAAGCTGTTAGGTCCAATCCACAGCTTAGTAAAGAGGTCTAACTAGCTGCTCGGTCAATCCACAGTTAGCAGACGACCCTCTTAAGCTCCTTGACGGTTGATCAATCAAAGCAAGAGCTTGCTGCTAGCTATCAGGTCAATTTATAGCTTAGCAAAAACAAACTCCTATCAGCCTTCTGTACGCATCAAGTCCATGCGCACCAGACAAACAATGGCTGAGCTAGCTGGATTCAAAACACGCATCACAGTGGCTTGCTCTTCAGTTGGCAGCCTCCAGAGCAAAATCAGGGAAATAGATCAAGCCTTCAACTTCCCAACAACGGCAACGGAATGCAACGCCTTCATTGTGGATAAAATGGCAGAAATTGAGGAGGCAGAAATTTCTCTCAAAGGCTTTTTGGAATATCTGGAAGCACAGATCCAGAATGCTATGAACTTTCTCGGATCAAGAAAAGACCAATCAGAAAGAGAAAGGCTTATGACTGATCTTGATGTATTTCTTTCTACTGAAGCAAACACAGTGCAGATGGAAGCTATTAACTGGACAAATAGGCTGAAATACCGGATAAGGGAACTGGAGAAGCAATCGAATCTGATCCAAGCCCACACTTTAACGACGTCATCACGTTCTAGTGCAGTGGGAGACCCAGACACTGAGAGTTACGCATCGACAAGGCAGTCTTCTGAGAACAAAGTACGACTACCGCAGCTCGAAGTTCCCACGTTTGATGGCAGCTATAAGGAGTATCCAACTTTCTGGACAATATTTAACTCGCTGATCCAT